AAAAAAAAAGGTATGTGTGTGTCTGAAAAAAGCTGCAACATAAACTTGGCTTTCTGTTAAAATGCTTTTGGAAGACAGACCTTTAATTTTCTACCTCTAGGTTTCTCTACGAAATAGAAGTTACTTTACACTATAATATTAATTAACTTGAATCTAAATTTAAAAAAGATATTCTACATATACAATATTGCCATTGACAAATACATAGTTTTATTCCCTTTCTAAAAAGCCCTAATAATGCTGATAGGAATAACAACAATAAAAGAAATAGAATTTATTTTGGTTAAAGTTTTCAATTCATTGGGGTGCCTGGGTGGCTTAGTCGGTTAAGCGTCCGACTTTCGCTTAGGTCATGATCTCGCGGTTCGTGGGTTCGGGCCCCGCGGCGGGCTCTGTGCTGACTGCCAGCTCAGAGCCTGGAGCCTGTTTCAGAGTCTGTGACTCCCTCTCTCTCTGACCTTCCCCTGCTCATGCTGTCTCTCTCTCTCTCTTCTAGAAATAAATAAAACATTAAAAAAATTTTTTTCAATTAATATGAATGGTTGAGATTACACTAAGTAACAGGAACAGACTAATATCACTGTCTATGGGCTTTTGTATTCCAAAGAGAAAGCAGTATTGTCTTATAGTGGAGGCTTTATAGTAATGGTTTTATATATACATATACACTGTATAAATATATACAGTAGTGTTTTTCAGGCCTTCTTTTCTTTTTGCTCCTTTTCAGAACCCCTAAACAATCTTGAGACTTACTGAGAACTCCAAAAAACTTTTATGTGGGTTAGAACCATTAATATTTACTATGTTGGAAGTTGAAATTGAGAAATTTTAAAATACTTAGTGATTTTTTTGACGAGAGCAATGATGAATGTAAATTAAACTGCTAACAGAAATAATATCTTAATATTAATGTAAAAGTTAGTTCAAAGTACTGGATACCCTGAGAATTGCTGTGATAGGAAAAGCAAAATAAAGGGCAAATTTGGAGGTAAACTTTACTTGTCTTGGTTGATAGTCCTTGAGTTTGACAAGAAGTGATGAAATGTATGAAAATTTCAGTAATGCTAGCCTTATCTTCCTGAGCTTGCTTGTTTTACTTACTGGTTCATTCCTTTGTCTACTATACAAAAGATTTTTGTTTTTTGACCTGTGTAATCTATCTAGGTAGGTATTCTGTGTCTCATAAGAATATTTTTCTGTGCTTTATATTGAATTTATTACATTCTTAATTAAGAAAAGGAGAGAAAGAAATAAAACGGCAAATAGCAAAGATTCCTCACTTATGAAAAAAAGGGTCTTTACAATCATGTAATGTCCATATTTATTTAAAATGTTTTATTTTTTTAAATGCCTATTTAATTAAATATATAACTCAGTATTATTTCTTTAGCACCCTGATCCTATCTTAATCAATGTTGGAATATCCTCTAATATTTTTTGCCTAATTTTTGCTTTCTCATCATTGGATTCTAAGTATAGATAAAATTAAATGAAACTTCAAACCTACTTTATACTTATTTTCCATGACCATTTAGCTATTTGCATAGGTTCCATAAGAAACTGTTAAATTTTTTTTTTTTATCAGGGTGTAATTGTACAAATGGAAGAGCCAAGGTTTTGTCTGGAATGGCGGATTTGAAAACAATGCTCACTTAATCAGATAGGAACAGTCATTCTTCATTGATTAAGTTTGACTTTACTTATGCAAGCAATGCCTACAAAGCCCTGGCCTATTTCTTGGCTTAGAAAATCTAAGAATATTATATATTAAATAGATGTAACCTTGGTATATTTAGGGGACCTTGAGAAAATAGGAATTTACCCAAATCTATAGGTATTTCAGGTGAAATAAGGTGGAGAGCATTTCTTGGGCTTGGTTTCCTAGCCTCAGGTCAACAAATAATAGAGGGTTTTAAAAACCCAATTTGAGATTCCTTATGAAAACTTCCAGACACAATTTACTTTAGTATTTGTTCAAAATTGTATGGTTTTAGAGTTAACAAAGGAAACTTCAGGTGTCCTGTATGGTAAAATACCACTTTTACTGCATTTATGTAAACAACCAGGCAAATCTAATGGCACCAACCTTACTTTATAAGAATAATCATACT